TAAGTCAACCACCAGAACCATTGCGGTCCTTGCTAAACAGAATAAAGACAATTCTTGATAAATGCCCACATATACAATTGTAAGATGTAAATGGTATTTCGTCTGAAATAAGTCTATGGCGCTATTCAAGGCCGATTCACCATCGAACCAGATCATTGCTGCCACAAGAACTTCTTCACGGACATGACTCTTTCACTAGGTTTTTTAAGATGGAAATGAAGGATATGCCTTCTGACTGATAAAACCAAACGTGAACGTGAATTGTTGGTGAAAACGTTGGACCAAATGTTTAAATAAAAAATTTATTTTGGGCGGTTCGAAGTCCGCTGGGTCTGCTAGTATATTATTATACGCACGACCACATCCTCCAATTTTGTCCTTATAATTTTAGTCTCTCGAAAAAACTAAATTAATTGAAAGGGCATTTTTAGTAGATATTCGCCCTTGTTAGGTTAAAACTTGCACTATATTGTACTAAAATTTCACAGGCTATAGGGTATGCAGTACCCTAAAGATTCAAATTAAAAATTCAAAATTTGTGATGAAAATCTGTTGAATTTTTCTAAGCTCTATATGAAGTTTGAATGCTTGACTTTTATAGTTTTGGTTAAGGCATAAGACATATTTTTATAAAAAATAACAAAAAAAAAAATTGTAACTTTAGTAATCCTGCAAATATTTAAGAAAAATCGAATGCACTCAGTTTTGCTTCTCACCGTATATTTTTATAAAAAAAAAACCAGCAGAGTACCCGACGCCGTTGGGGGTAAAATAATCAAAATATAAAACATAAATACAAATACGTATTCCGTTCAGCATCGAGATAGATATAGACAAATGTATACATAAATGCTCAGAATGAATAGAGAAGTCGATTAAGCTATGTCTGTCCGTCCGCCCGTCTGTCCGTCTGTCCGTGTACACGATAACTCGAGCAAAAATTGCGATATCTCAACGAAATTTGGTATGTAGGTTTCCATTTATCCAAGGTAAGTTGGTATTGAAAATGGGCGAAATCGGACTGTAACCACGCCCACTTCCCATGTAACGGTTATTTCCTGAAATACAAAAATTCGATATTTTAGTAACTACTGAAGATAATTCACTCAAAATTGATACTTGCAATAATTTTCTGAGTACTGATTAATATTTTAAATATGAACGAAATCGGTCCAGCCGTTTAGTAGTTTAGTGACATTCAATATACGGAAAACTCTATGAAATTGTGAAATCGTGACGTCTCAGCTTTCTTCATTTTGCGGCAATAACAACAAACAATTTCAAATTTTTTTTAAATCAAAGAATCTTCCGCACAGAAGGCCCAAAAATGTGCTTTTTACAGAATTGAAATCGGTTCAGCCGTTTGGTCAGGCATCGCCGTCATACGAAAGACATTTCATTTTTATATACATATATAGATAACAACAAAAAATAAACGTGCAAAAAAATTTTGAATATCGTAAAAAATCAATGCAAAAAATCGATGTTCAACAAATAAAAATAAGATTATTTTTGAACCTAATCCGCTATATAACTTAAGTACTTAAAAAATTTTAAGTTGTGTCGTTGTTGCAGAGGGCCACCGATATACATATGTATGTACCAAAGTGCATTGCGTTTGCCCAGAGATGGGTGAAAAATTTGCAGTTGCAGCAGTGATTGCTCATTTTCGTTACACAATTGCCGTTAATCTTCTTTGCAGCTTTGCCTGCTTGGTTAGTAGCAGTCACTAGCTTCTGTCCGTCCGTTGATGCTGACGTTGAAGTTGACAATATCTACCGTCAGACGATGTCGCATACTGCACTGCACTCTTTTACCTACTGTACATATGTACTATGTATTACAAATGTAGCATAGGTAAGTAAATACTTACCCTTTTTTGCAGCATTTTCCAAAAAGCTAGAACCGATGCCGACAGCACTGGCTCTTTGGTTGCCAACAGCGGTACCAATTCCCTGGCAGGTCGCGTGAGCCCAATGAATGCATAATTGTTACACAATGCAACAAATGCAGCAAAGCGGTAACAAACAGCAGCGACAGCGGCAGCGGCAAAGCATATAGCAAAACTGTACTGGTATTCCTTCCGGTCATTTTCGTATTTTAACTATTCCGACTGTCGCTCGTAGTGGTTGCTGCTGCTCATAATGTTCATATGTATGTATGTACCCGTATATAGCATTGCATGCTTGTCGGCATTTGCATTCTCCGGGGAAATCAGAAAGTCATGTACGGATAGCCGAGTCTCATCGAGTCGAGTGCTCCACTCTTGTCTCGTTGAGTAAACTGCAAATGAAATGGAGGCCGTTCTGCTCGTTTTGGCGGTTGGCTGTAAATAATTAACTAGCTGCAAAATTTTTTACTTAAAGGGTAGAAGAGAGTGCCTGGCTATAGTAATAGCGCAGCAGGTGACTATGTAAAGTTTTTTTTTTTGTTAGGAAAATGTACAAATTATTTTCGCGGCGTTCGAGCTAAAACGCCTTAAACAAATTTTAATTTTTGAAAACTATCGAATTATTCATAAAAATTGCGATTCCTAATTACCGTTTTTAGTTTAGCTAAAAGAATTAACGACAATAAATTTTTAATCATTTGAATAGGGATATTGTCCGCAAACACTGTGACAAAATTTTTGGACATTATAACAGCGTAGAAGTTTTTCAGACTTTTCTTCGTAGCCCTGAAATCAATTTGTACTGAAAAATCCCCATCTCAAAAGATTTTCCCTTATGTATATATTCATATGTACTTACATAAGACGGTTTCTTTCGGTCCCATATGAAAATTTTGTAGTCGGTTACAAAAAATAATCATTCGTGAATGCGTTTCGGCTGGGCATTGCTTCTCCAAATACGGCTAATCAAAGCAAAATTCTGAGATAATATTTCGCTGTTTTGGTGAAATCGAATTACTTTTGCTTAATACCGATTTCTTGCAATTTGTGCAAATTCAATCCTAACTGTAATCAGTTATATCCAAAAATATTAAATAAGTAACTTTTTCGGCTGGGATTTCGTGGAAGTGTCCAACAGCACCTTTTTTTGTTATTGTTTTACGCGTATGTATGTATGTACTTTTGCTGGTATCACAGTAAACATGCCGCTCTTGCATTTCATTTCATTGTTGCTATTGTTAACCTCAGCTGTCATGGGCGTTGATGATGCAAATTGTTGGACATGGCCCAAAAATGGCCTTACGACTTTTCGGGGTCATTTGGTATGCGATAAATTTCAAAAATTCAAAATGTCAAATGAACAGTATGACAAGAGTATGCGAGGAGTGGAGAGCATGAGGAGATAAAAAAGGGGATGAACTAGCATAGAAGGGCAGGTATAAATAATGAAAAAGCGATTGCAGAAAGAAATGCATGATGAGCGTAATGTAAAACCAAATCAAGCGTTACAAGATGAGTAATCTGGGCGAGCATGGGGTCAAATTTTAATATAAAAGAGGCAATCTAAGGGCAAATGTAGAATGAAGAGATGACCAGCAAAGAAAGTGGAACACTGCGGCTGCTGTGTCAACTAATCACCTAGAATGTGGGCCACCACAGCTTAGCATATAAGCTGTATATATGTATGTATTTGTAAAGATATTTGCATGTAATAGCCAACTATGGTAGAGAGGGGTTTGAAAGGATTCTCGTTTTATGTGCATGTAGAAACTTGCATGCTACACCCACACCTACATATGTACTTTGGAACATCTCAGCTCTTTGTCGCTGCTGCTGTTGACTAATACACCAAAGTAGAAGTCAGCTCAGCTGCTGGCAAATTGCCGGTACTTTACCCGATAGCTACCTTGCCTTGCTACCAAGAAAAAACAATACATTACACGCTCACTTTGTTAATCCGATTTTCTATTTTGCTCTCTCTTTCTCTATTCCTCACCTTCAACCAACACATGTCATCACCGCCAACACCACATCATCATATTCGCCAGCGCAGCACTTGTGGCCTTTTCAGAAATTCGACAATTGAAGAGGGCATCACATGCTGTTCGACAACGTTCTATAATTCGGCATCGATTTGGAAAATTTCGAACAAGACGAACCGGCGCGACCACAAATCGACACTAAAAATCTACTAGTGCTCACATCAACATCTTCAGCATCAGAACTGTTTGCTTCATCATCGCTTACAGCCGTGGCGACAATGAGTGGCAGCACGCACAGGAAGCAACAGCCCGTATAAGCGTCATCATCAGCACAACTACAGCAGCAATAACAACAAAACTACAATAAACATTTGGCATAGCAACACATGAGGCCGAGACTCACCACATTCACCGCATGCCAGATGGCAAAAGCAGGGTGGCGAGACCAAGGCCACAGCGCCACCCGGTAATCATGTCACGTACGAATGGCGCATCAGTAAGACTGGCCTGACTTTTCGAAAGAAGTAAGTGTTTCACATTTTTATTTCAATGTGGTGCTGTAGGTTGAAAAATTGAAAACTGGCCTAGGTGTTGCACAGTGGGAGACAGCGACAAACAAAAAGTGGGACAAGTATCACAATTTTTCGCTGTAATAATTGAACATATTTTTTTAGTCAAAATTTAGTCGAAGCGAACGGAAATCTTTAAAAATTTGATTGCCAGATGCAAAGAAAATATCTATAAGTACAAAAATAATATTTTAATTATTTCTAATTTTGCTGCATGGCTTAGCGTTTTTCTGATGCCGCCTAACGTAAGACTACAAAATAATCTGTTGTGGCGTCGCGTTTTTCTGTCTGTTCCTGAAATCACTTGCCAAATAGCAATAATAGTTCTTCAAAAGTCTTCTATGTGCTTTTGGTCGTTCGATAAAATAAATATTTCGATACCTGCTAAGGAACAAAAAAAATTACAGTAATGCAACAGAAATTAAAAGCAAATTAGCCGATTTGTTGATCAAGTCTACGGCGCACAGTGTTCTATTTTGGAAAAAGGGACAAAATTAAATATCACGATATTTCGAATGAGAAGAGGTAGCGAAATAAATGTAACGATGATTTAAGGCCTTTCAAATGGAGAATCCAGGAAAAATAGTCTCATTGGATCGAAAAATTACTTTGATTTTTAAAATGACCTTAAAAAATAAATTTAAAATTTTTGTCTTTTTTGGTCTGAAACCGGTATGCAATTAACTTTTTAAAAAGTTTTAACACAAGTATTTGCTGTTCTTGCGTCAAGAAATCCATATCCATCCTCGAAAACATAAAATAAAGCAATTTATGGATTTTAAGTTTATTGCATACTGTTTTTTGATAATAAAAAAAAAAAAACACAAAAAATCGAAAAACTTACCTAGGGTTGGTTTTGAGGTTAAAGCTATTTTTCATTCACTCAGATATTCAAAAGTAAAATTTTAGATTTTTTGTGTGTTTTCTTTATTACTATATATTCTTGCGACCATAGAAATGGATTTCATGACGCACGAACAGCAAAGATATGTATTTAAAACTTTTTAAAAATTCTTTGCATACTGGTTTCAAACATAAAAAAAAGAATACAATTTGAAAATCTTTTATATTTGTTGATAGTTTTAGAAGCCAAGTCCCCATTTTAAAAGCTTTAAAGTTTCGTTACATTTATTTCGATATCTCTTCTCTTTCTGTTTTTCTAAATAAAACACAATGCGGCGTAGCCAACAATACTTCTGAAACCAAGACAAGCTTATTGTTCCTCTATTACTTGGTAACTTTATAGAAATACATTTATCGATATCTTTAGAGATATTTTTTCAAAGTTATTGATAAATCTATTTATAGAAATTTTTGCTGATAATACTAAATATCTAATTCGTTAATTTTTATGTATGTATTTATCGAAACCGTTCTCATTATATTTATCGAAATCTTTACAGGTTTTGTCATTAAATTCATTCTCGATATATTTATCGAAATTTTTACAGCTATTTGTATCGAAATATATATCGAAAGCATTTATGATAATCGATGTATTTTAAGATTTCGAATTATTTAAAAACAAATTGTATTCGACTCGTAACCGTAACCGTTTTCGTTCACTTTTTATTCGGATCTTCATTCCTGTTAATATTCATATATATTTATCGAAAAAACTATCGATATATTTATTTAAATTTATATCGATACATTGTGTCGATGGCGCTGTTCGTATGTATAAAAATCGATGGTGACATCTTTGTCTTTGTCTTCTATTTATACTCATTTTTTTCGGTTAGTAACCGTACTTCTACTCATATGCCTATTTGTAATCGCTTATAAAATATACATATGTGCTGGTTTGAATGGGCTTCAGACTCCGGAATGGCAATACATTCATCTTTAGCGTATCACTAGTTAACAAAAAAAAAAAACAAAAATCCGTTTGCACTTTTTTAATCGCTCTTTATGAATTCTGTCCCAATGTACAGTTTCTGTCAAGGAGCCCAACAAGTTGGCGTTAGTATTGGCTTAGCAATTGTCGCAATATCGTCCCTATGTCACGTTCAACTGAATTGCATTTGTTGCATTTCGCGCTCGCCGAGTCAGCATATTTGTCCTGTGCAACTAGCTGCAATCTGCCTACGTGGCGTATGAGTAACCACTTTGTCATTTGTACAGCAATAAATCCATCGATTAGCCAGCCTTACAAAGTATCCACCCTACATACAAGTATTTTATTTAATCAATACATTTTGGTTTATGATATCTTTCTCTGTTGTACTCCACAGCGTCGCCCAATCACTTTTGTACGCCTACGCTATCACACGCCCACCCACAACGCCTTGGAGTCGCATGTCGAGGCAGATATCGAGGTGGTTGACAACGCGTATTGCGTGGATTATGGCCTGAGTATTCCCGACACGTGCGAAGTGTGCGGCCAGGAGAAGTGTGCCAGTCGGCAGGCTGGCGATTGGACGTTGTGTCAGCGTGCTCGCTGCTTCGGTCGCAATACAGCCATGCAAAAGCGTGAAGTCAACTATCGCTTTGTGAATGGCACAGAGGCAACGGACGCCTGTAGTGTGTCACAGCGTCCCATTAGTCCCATTAGTCGACAGGATAGCACTCTACTGAACGTTGCAAGGGTGTTTGACGTTTGGAGCCATGGTCGAAGGTAAGTGTCACGGCGCATAGCAGCGCATCCAATGCAGTTACATAGGCCGTTTGGACTCGACTTTCATTCTATTGACTTACATCGATTCTTTTTTCGTCACAATGTTGCAGTGTAAAGCGCAATGCGGTCACCAGGGAATTAAATACCACATTTTACAGTGTGTTTAGTATGGCACATGGCGACCGGCGGGCAATGCGTGTCACCATCAGTTGCGTCCTGCGGTAATGAAAGTGCGCAAGAGTTCGCCCTGCTATTCGAAATGTGAGTAACCATTTTTAACTGAATTAACAAAAAGGAAAAGGTTATCAGTTTGTCGAACAATTTTTTTTTGTTTTGTTTGTTTTTTATGTATGTTACCGCATAACTTCCGATCATTGAATCATGAAGAAATTAACGATAATCTTTAATTTTTATATGAGAATTGAAGTCGGTTTTGTTCTTTGCTTAAAACTTACGTGTTATATATTTTTGAAGCTGAAGGTCTGACAGAACAGAACTCAGGAACAGAGCGAAAAAATTAAATATTAAAAGATATGGATAATTTCTTGAACAGGTATAGCCAGCCAAAATTGTATACCAAATTGAAATTTTATGGCTAAAAAAAAATTTGGCAGCAAAAGAAGAATTAGAATAGCAAGCAAAAATTGTATAGCAAACGCAAATTTTATGGGCACCAAAATTTTGATATCAAACTAAAATTTTATATCAAACAAAAATGTTATAGTAAACAAAAATTTTATAGCAAAAAAATTTTATAATAAATAAAAAAAATACATACATACATATACATAATTGTACATTAGACTGCATCACCAAAAAAAGTTGCGATTGTTCCGCCGGATTTACAAAACTTATTATATTTTAAGGCTTTTTGAAAAAAATTCCCTCAGGTGACAAACTAGTTTATGCTTAAAAAATCTGTATAAAAATATTCTAAAATTTTTAACGGAATCATAACAATCAGATTTTTGATGCTTTTTTTCAACTTTTTTCAGAGATTTTTTTTACCGATATAGACTTGTGAGGTATCAGTGAAAAGGTATTTTCTCACCCTTTTTATTCCTTTGCAAAAAAACTCATTAACGTCCAAATTTTTTCTTTATCAAATACCAACGTATCTTAACTGAACATGGAATGTGGCTCGTTTGTTTAACCTTTTCCTTTCATGCTTTGAATGAGCTTCTTCCTTTCAAATGATACCTCATAAGTCTGAATCGGTAAAGTGTAGGCTGAGTCATTCAAGTTTTTCTTAAACCAGTCTTTGAAAAAAGTTCAAAAACAGCATCAAAAATCTCATTAATATGATTCCGTTGAAAAATTTTTTTTTTTTAATATTTTTATTAGAATTGCCAGATTTTTTATGCGCGAAACCAATACGTTAGACATGTCCATGCTTAAAAAATCAGCACTTTTCAGTACACTTTTACTCAAAGAAAAATTATGAACTTAAGTAACAGATAATACTTTAAAACGCCAGAGTACTTGTTTTTGACAATATTTTGGTATATAAATAAAACATAGTTCATAAAAAATAAAAATGTTATTAATTTGAACATTTTACATTTCATTTAAAATTAGTTTTAATTTGAAGTTCAGTTTCAAAAATTTTATTTAGAAGCCGGTTTCTCTTTTTGCGCCAGGAAGCAAATTTTATGGTTACTTAGTGTGGTATTGAAAAAAAAACAAAATTAAATATTTTTTCAAACTGTGGGAAAGTACCTAAGGACTTCATCTATATTTCCTGGAAAAATGGAAAAAATAAGAATTCTCTAAAAAGAGTATCTTGTATGCAAAACTCTTGCAATGTCAGTAAATTGAGAAAAAAAATATTAAGCTGAATTTACATGAGGCGATTTTCTAGGCGATTCAGTATTGCTCAAGAAAAATCGCTAGTGTAAATGGTGATCCAAAAATCGCCTGCCTCAGGGTTGACAGCAAGTCAACTTTTCCAGGCGATTATCGCCTGTTAAAAATGGCTTCGTCTAAAGGCAGCCTATGTTATAGGCCAACACCACGAATATTCAAATTGTCTGTTATTAAACTGAAGGATATTTTCGAGATAACTAACAACACTCGCCAAAAAAAACGTCAGCCTTCATTTTAAATAATTTAACCTCCATCATATTATCGCAACTGGTGCGTATCGACCCGGTGATGTGCCCATAAAGCGATTGATACCTTTGTTGTATCAATTTCTTGGGCATATAAAACATTATTTGAATCAACTATAATTAAATTATTTTCTTCTAACTTTCTGCAGTGCAGCTTAAGCAAGTTGCAACGTTATGTAAAAAGCTTAAGACAATCCTAAAGTATTTTGTTTGAATTGAAAATTCAGTACAAATCAGTACAAATTTTGAAAAATCAGGACATTAGCGTACTGATTGAAGAAATTAATAAAATCAGTACAAGAGCTGAAAAATCAATACTGGACTAATAGAATCAGTACGTCTGGCAACCGTAATTTTTATGGAAATTTTTTAAGCTTAAATGTTTTGTCATCTGAGATGATTTTTTGAAAAAATACTTAAAAACAGTTTTTATTCACAGGAAACTCACTTTTTGGAGGTATTTTTTCAAATCGGTCCAGCTCACGCAAGTCTTAATATTTTTCTGAAATATTTTGGTGCAAGTTTTAAAATGTAATGCATTTTATGATTGCGGTGGAAAAATACCACCGATTTTTTGTTGTATGGGGAGTGATGAAGTCTAATGTACATACATCTGTTTTTGCTTAAGGTTATATTTTTTGTCTTCTTTCCATCTCGATCCCTGCCTCTACCCCTGTTCGTTCTAATTACATTTATAACATTTTGTTTTTCTCTATCTTCATTTGTATCTTTATACCCTATCGAATAATATCGATCGGATGGTATTGAAAATGGGCAAAATCGTAAATACGCCTACCTCCCATATAACGGTAATTTTCAGAAATACGAAAACTGCGATATTTTAGTAACTACTGAAAATTATTCACTCAAAATTGATATTTACAATAAGTTTTAGACAAAGGCGTAGCCACGGCACCAATTTCTTCTAAACTTGGCATATAACGGTAATTTGGAGAAATACGAAATCTTCGATAAATCAGTAAATATTAAAGCTAATTTATTCAAAATTGATGCTTGCAACAATTCTTTACCAAGAAATACGTTTATGGTAAAATTTTTGAAAATGGGCGTGGCACCGCCCACTTATGGTCACATATATGTATGTATCTCGGTAACCGTTCTACCAATTTGTACCAAGCTCGGTATGGTTATTGTGCTTGCCACATAAAAGCAAAACGTTGAAAATTATTGAAATCGGACTAAAATTACGGCCGCTTTTCATATAACGGTAAATTTCAGAAATGCTTGAAACTTCAATATTTCGAAATTTAAGGACGCTAATTTACTCAAAAATGATGCACCCCTGCTTACCATTTAGCGCTAGCTTTCGGAAAGGGGAAAAATATATAAATAATACTTGCGCCGGGTATTTAATGTTCGGCTCCGCCCGAACTTAGGCTTTCTTACTTGTTACTTTTATGTTTATCATTTTCTTCATTTACATATGCCCCTTCACCTTTGCCCTTATATAAGTAAAGTGTTAAAATTTACCAAATTTTTGCCTTTATCTTTACATCTCCTTGTTTTTGTTTTTACTTTTCACATTTATTTTCATTTTTGTATTGGTTATTCGTTAACCTTTTACTAGCAAGTGTTTATTAAATTAACAACATACATTCAAGAAGCACTTATTTCCGTCCCAATCATTTCCATTGCACTATTTCCGTGTACAATTTCCGTTGGATTTGCCAATTTACTCCCAACCAACCAATCGCCGCTAATGAAGTTTCACTTCACAAATTTAACTTCCTTCTTCTTATATTCAGCGCTTCGACATTCTCGCCGTCGATCTGTAACAAATTGAATCTATTAAGCCCTCTACAGCGAGAAAGTTAAGACAATAAATACTCGCGCTGGTGTTGGCGACGGCAGCGGTGGTGGCCCCTTACTTAACACAGACGCCAATATCAGCAGTCTGGTGTGTACCACTTCGACATCAACGGGCACTATTTACATAGAAGTGGCAGTGGAACTGAACTACGTATAAAAAATTCCCTAAGTAATGTCGAAGACTGTAAGCGTAAATTGTCAAAAGGTGATACAACGGCACCGGTTGAGGTGTTCCTAGGCGGTTTGTGTAACCCTACCACCTGGCGTGCCCATACCAGCTTAGCATTTCCTTCTATAATCCCGTGAGTATTTTGCCTTTGGCATGCAATTAACTATTTCTATTTTTTTATTATTTTGTTAATTTTAATTCTTTCTGCTTTCTGCTTTGAAAATATCATGGAGCAGCACTGGAGAGGCTGAAGAAGAGTTGACTGCATCAAAGGAAACATACAGCTGGGGCGTTGCGACCAATGTAGCCAAATCTTTATAACCGATCGCTGTTAGATGCAAGCCGGGTGTTGCTGTTTGTCATCACCAATGAGACACGCTCGCTGGCACCAATGAAGTTGGCGGCACATTGCATGGGGCTGATGTACAATGTCGTTTTAGTAATGCTAATGCTCCCGAGGATTATGCGATAAACAATGAAAAGGTGAGTGTGTGGGGCGCGGAAGAAATTAGCTTTTAAATGATTTTTGAATTGTTTAAATAATTTACTTTTTGTGCTTTCTTCTTACAGCTCACGCTGTCTGCTATCAAATATTGCAATCGCGGTCGCTGGTATCTAATAGATTTGGCCAAACGCCAAGGTGTACCTGTGGATAAGATAAAAGCGTGTAACTCCACAGGCAGTTGTTATGATTGAATAAGCTCTCATATGCATAGGCAGTTGAGTCACCTGTAAGCGCTAAAA